GATAAAAAAATAACAATTAATAATAATTAATAGTAATACAAATTAATAATAATTATACTTACAAAGTATCTTTTGATATGATGCATAAGGTGTTTTTCCGTACATATGATGCTTTTGGACTGGGATTTAGTAAAAGATCACAGACCACGAGTGTAAAGGTGCAATGCTTATTGGAAAGTTCAGATACAGCAACCTCAGTGAAGGCTGACCTTATGATTATAGATACCCAAAAAACACCATCATTGTTCATTTCAAATAGCGCATGAAAACAATCACGAACTTCTTCGCTTTGTTTTCAACTTAAAATATCAGCTGATACAGTGTTTCACTTTAACGGTAGCAATCGTTCGCACCCAAATACGTGCTATACTGCTATCCTTACATTTTGAACTGACGTATCTCGAAGGTTCTTCATTTTTTGCAACAACTAGTTTCAAAAATAATAAAAAATCAAAAGCGAAAGAAGCATAAATATTAACAAAATAAAACAAAAAAAAACGATAGATATCGATACATACGGGCTGAACCATTCTCTATAAAACCTATTAGTATATTAGTTGGAGTTTAGATTACGTATAAATTTGGGGAACTTCTCTTCAAGACATTGCCGAAGAGCATCCTTCAAATTATTTTGGCTGGAATATATATGGCTCAGAAAGCGCCACTTCACCACACAGATAAACATGTCCTATAATATATATATATTTTTATCTTTCAGCACAAATCAATATGCTATATACTGCTAGAACCTAAATTTACATAGCAGATTTGTTGCAAAGATAAAAAAACGAAAACACTTACATCCATCACTTGTGCAAAGAGATCATTCTCTTTTTTATCATATTGCTTTTCTAATCGCTCTAGCCTGGCTTTTATTTCATTTATACTTTCGTCAAGTCTCTTAAGCATTAAGTGTTTTCGTTTTTTTATCTTTGCAACAAATCTGCTATGTAAATTTAGGTTCTAGCAGTATATAGCATATTGATTTGTGCTGAAAGATAAAAATATATATATATTATAGGACATGTTTATCTGTGTGGTGAAGTGGCGCTTTCTGAGCCATATATATTCCAGCCAAAATAATTTGAAGGATGCTCTTCGGCAATGTCTTGAAGAGAAGTTCCCCAAATTTATACGTAATCTAAACTCCAACTAATATACTAATAGGTTTTATAGAGAATGGTTCAGCCCGTATGTATCGATATCTATCGTTTTTTTTTGTTTTATTTTGTTAATATTTATGCTTCTTTCGCTTTTGATTTTTTATTATTTTTGAAACTAGTTGTTGCAAAAAATGAAGAACCTTCGAGATACGTCAGTTCAAAATGTAAGGATAGCAGTATAGCACGTATTTGGGTGCGAACGATTGCTACCGTTAAAGTGAAACACTGTATCAGCTGATATTTTAAGTTGAAAACAAAGCGAAGAAGTTCGTGATTGTTTTCATGCGCTATTTGAAATGAACAATGATGGTGTTTTTTGGGTATCTATAATCATAAGGTCAGCCTTCACTGAGGTTGCTGTATCTGAACTTTCCAATAAGCATTGCACCTTTACACTCGTGGTCTGTGATCTTTTACTAAATCCCAGTCCAAAAGCATCATATGTACGGAAAAACACCTTATGCATCATATCAAAAGATACTTTGTAAGTATAATTATTATTAATTTGTATTACTATTAATTATTATTAATTGTTATTTTTTTATC